GTAATGCCGTAATGCCGTAATGCCGTAATGCCGTAATGCCGTAATGCCGTAATGCCGTAATGCCGTAATGCCGTAATGCCGTAATTCAGTAATTCGTAGAGATACAAATCGGCTCGTCGGCTCTATTGATTATTCGGTTTGTATTATACTTAATATACAAGCCGATCGAGCCGTTTTGCATCACTAGTAATTCTACCGCCAACTATATTCATAGATATGTTATATATTAAATAAAAAATTTAATCTATTTTATTATAAAATAAAATTTTTGAGTTTTTTGTAGCTTTTTTTATAGTTAGACGAAGATTTAAGATGAATAATATTAATCAAAAATATATATATAATTAATTTAAGATTAATTCTAGTAATACTATATTACTATTTGATATTATAATTTTCAAAGATTAAAAATTTTAAATTTTTATATTAATATACATAACTAGAATTTAATTTAGTTTCTTTATACTTAGAATATTAAACAATCTTTATATTTTAATTTTCTGTAATAATATCTTTATTCAATATTGTTAAAGTGCTTTACTTCTAATTCTGATATAATCAATTCTTTACTACAAACTATTTTTGTATTTATTGCTTCTCTTACTACATTAATTATGGTGATAATCCGAACTTATTTGCATAATTTATTAATCACACTTTCAAGCAAGCAACCTACTGTATATGTTAAATATAGAAATATTATATTACTAAACTAAAATTATTAGAATATTAATACTGCTTTGTTTTTTATTACATATAGTACCGAGTGCGTGAGAGTGAAAACCTGGAAATATATTTTATGATTTACTATGATTGGCTACAGGTTTTCACTCTCACGCACCCATTTGTTAATAAAATTATTATACACTGTAACAAATAATTTTATATAAATTTTATATAATTTGTTTGTAAAATATAATCGTAACTATAAATTAATTGCCTTATATAGAGATATAAGTAATATAAAAAAGTTGATAAAAATAAAATTGTAGATTATATTAATTTTGTAACTATAGAAGTAACTATAAGGAAATTAACTATAAACTTATTTTAAATAAAATTAATAATCTACTTTTGAAACCCATAAATCAATTCCAGGAAGAGGTTCAGATAAACCGAAAAATTTTTTACCAAATGTAAAACCATCAACTAATCTAAACTCAAGATTTCTAATAATTATAGCTACGATAATTCTAAGTTCCAAATTAGCCATTTTCATTCCTACACAATTTTTTGAACCAGCACTAAAAGGTAGAAAACTACTGCTTGATACTTTCGATTTTATTTTTGGATCAAGCCATCGAGATGGGTTAAAACAATCGGCATCATCACCCCAAATTAAAGGATCATGATGGACTGCGTGGATAGGAATCATCATTAGAGTATTCTAAAAAAAAGTTTCAAAGTTATATATTATATTATTATCAAAATAATTGAACTATGGGATGCTATTTGGGAAATACCTTTGGAATTACGTAACCATCCATAACTTCATCTTTTAAATTAGATCGAATGAGTCCAGGCACTTTATATAATAAATAAATAATTAGAGAGAAATAAATAAAAAAAATAGAACAAATTAAACAATAAAGAGAATTGGACTATACCAGGCGGATCAATCCTTAAAGATTCTTTTATAACACAATCCAAATATTTCAAATGTTCAATTTCATCAAAGGTTGGACAATGATGACGATCAGTAAATGTATCTAGCACTTCTTTACGAAGACGATTCTGTACATCAGGATTTTTTGCGAGATTGTATAATATCCAAGATAGTGCAATGCTAGTTGTTTGATGTCCAGCAAAGAGGATTGACATAACCTAGAAATTTTAATAATTTTATAATTTAAATAAAATTTAATAAAATTATATACATTTTAATAAATTAAATAAACTTTTACTTGACTAATTAATTCATTATGTGTTAATTGTTCATCAACAGGAAAGTTTTCATTTGACTTAATCAATAAAGATAATATATCATTTCCTCGAACAGTGGCATTTTTTTGTTCAATAACTAATTTCTCGGAAATATTTTTGATAACTTTAATAGAATCATCAAATTGCTTGTTGTAGGCAGTTGGAAATTTCCTAATGAACGGAAATAGTTCTTCAAGAGCCGCGTATAAAGGCGAAGGATTACGACCAACTATTGCTTTATATGCTTGAGCTAATTCAGAAGATTTTGAAGTAGTAGAATTAAATTCGTAATTAAATCCTATTAAAAATAATATAATTGTAATTATGATTAATAATATAATTGTATAATTATGATTACGATTAGAAACATCATTATTAAAAATCTAAGGTATAGAATGAATGGTTACGGTACGATTTCCCGAAAGCTATTTCCCCGACATATCACTTACCCGATATCACGCAGGTGACAATTTGCTAAAAATATATATATACAACTAACAAAATGCTAATCCTAACCCTATGTGATGTCGGGTAAATAGTTTTTCGGGAAAGTGGGCTTCGGGAAAGTGAGAATCAACGAGAATGAATATAGGCTAATTCATACCAACAAGGCCAATGACATCTAAAGTTATCTTGCCAACTAAATCAGTAATGGTGATTCTTTCTTTTTTCTTATTACCAATTTGTTTCATCCAGATATCTTTTAATTTATGACCAGCTTGAACAAACGTCGGAACCATTTCCTTAAAAGAAATAATTAAGTATAAGGAAAAGAAATAATTAAGTTATAAGAAAAAGAAATAATTAAGTTATAAAGAAAAGAAATAATTAAGTTATAAGGAAATGAAATAATTAAGTTATAAGTAAATGAAATAATTAAGTTATAAGGAAAAGAAATAATTAAGTTATAAGGAAAAGAAATAATAAGTTATAAGGATTAATTTTTTAACATTGAAAATCATCCAAAAATACCTTGATATTGGCAAAAGTGAATGAAGGATTCATAATTTTTCTTTGTCGTTTATGACAATTTCCTTCAGCAATAAAAATACCTTCGCCAAACAATTCCTTGGCTTTCTTTGGGAAGAGCTTTGAATAATCATAAGGGCGATTAAGCAATACTTGTTGGACAAGTTTTGGATCGGAAATCACTAAAAAAGGTGTACTGAATATGAAATGACATCGAATTATTCCACCGTATTGTTTGGCCAAGTTAGCCAAAGCTCCACCTATCTCTTTGTTTAATAAAGAGGCCAAATGTCCAAGAATGAAATTATCAACAGGTGGACCAGGAATTTTACTTAATGGGGATAAATATAAAGGATAAATACAGCTCTTGTACAATATGTAGCTAATAAACGCAACAAACGCAGCCAAGTAGTAATTCATTTTGGATAATGAAAAATTAAGAGAGTGAAAATGATTAGGGTTGTAAAACTTACAATAATTTCCAAATATGATATAACTTACGATGTAACTTACAAGCAATTTTGTATGTTCACTTAGGCAAAAATTCAAATATTATGTAAATTACTGTGTAAGTTATAATGTAAGTTTACAACCCTAATAGTGAATATGATAAACTAGTATAATCTGTCATAAAATTTGTATAGGAATCGCAGCATTTTTATCTATTAATTTTATATTAGATTTCTTATGGGCAAAATTTTTTGATGCTATCTGTGATTAGTATTCCGCAAAAAAGGATCTGCTATTTTTAATGGGTATGAAAAAGTAGCATTTTTACAAAGTTAACTCGAACTAAAACTGTACATATAATTAATATGGAAATCCATTACTGGCAATAGAAATTTCTTCCATTATCTTACCATATTTTTTGTGAAAACTCCGTGAATCTGCAACATGATCAATAAATCCCGTGAATATGCAACGTTTATGGACAAAACACGGGATATAAAACACGTAACAATTAAAAATAGCGGATCCGCACAGATCTTTTTTCGGAAGTGATTATTAAAAATGAAATACGATGTAATAGAACTAAACCATAATTAAGCTAATATATTCATTTGCAATACTCTAAACAATAATAAACTGTTATTAAGCAAATATATAATTAAGCAACGATTGGCACGTGTCATTCGTTAATCATGAAAGGAAGTGGATCGTTTTAAAATCGGTCTCTATTTACCGATTAAAAAAAAATGAAAATTAATTAATTAAGGAAATTAATATTTCATCATACTTTTTTGATATTTCCACACCCCTGTTAATAAAAATCAATATAAATTATTATGGTTTGGTTAGGGTTTAGAGTTAGCAGGGGTGTGGCAATATCAAAAAAGATAAATAAAATAAAAATTAATTAAATAAAATAAATTTAATAAGAAATAAAACGCGAAAAAAGATTGAGAAAAATTAAAATTAATTAAAATAGAATAAATTTAAGAAAAAAAAGTGAATAAAAATAAATTATTATATTCTCTCTTAACGTTTAATTGCTAGATAAATTTTCATACATTAAACGAAAAATTAATTAAAAGAAAATAAATTTAAGAAATAAAATGCGAATTAAAACGATTAAATGCTTGCCTAACGTTAATTGCTAGCTAAATTCATACATTAAACAAATACATTCAAATATTCATATATAATATAACCATGTAATTAAAAGTTTTTACATTTCTCGCTTAGAACACATCCGCATGTTCTTGTGCATAATAAATCTTTTTTCTGAAAGAACATGATTTGTTGCCACAATCTGTTTTTTGGTAATGACCGGTTTCTTGTCGGGTTTCTTGACTTGAACCAATATTATTATTCGCAACACTAGTGTTACAAAAATTATATAATTAAGATGAATAATAATAATAATAATAATATTACTATTACGTATTATGTTTTTTTTTATTACTTACTCAAGAAACATATTTGGCGGGTACTCACTAATACATCTTGAAAAATTATAGGTTGGAGGTTTGTAATTATTATTAGTCGATCTGCTATTGTTACAAGTTGGGAATGTAGAGTTTTGGCTTGCACCGCTTCTCTTAACGAAAGTATGTTATTTAATGGTACACCGTTGAGATCAGGATAAACAAGGGTACACTGTGGTTCAAGTTCATTTGCTGAGTACCAATTGTCGAAGATAAGATTTGATTTTAATAAATTCACGGTTTTGTTTAACATTTAAAGGAGCTGATAGTATCGAATTAATGCAATTTAAATTTTGTTTAACTTTATAAATTTATTTATTAAAGTTAATATAACACTCATACTTGAACGTGATTTAGAAAACCTTTAGAAACAATAGGGTGCATTTGTGAAATTCTTTTAGAAATACGTCGAGCAATACACATTTTGCATTCATTAATCACATTTTCAACTAACGGCTTGGGAATATAGCAGTATCTAATCCGAATCTAATAAGAAGGTTGTTATTATTATTGTTATTTTATTTTAAAAAAAGCAAACATAAATTTACCTTTTTCTAGGTAAGTTGCTTGGTGGGCAGCACAAACTACTTCGTAAAAATTTTCGATATAACAAATTTGGTACCTCAAGTTATTCTTACGTATATTGTTTTAAGCAGATACAGTTTCTATGTTGCACCAATACGATGAACTTTAAAAATACTAACCAAAGATTTGAACTTCACATTACGCTGAAGGTCTGATTTTTATTTTTTTATTTTTTTATTTTTTTTTGACATTTTAACATTCATTATAACAACTTTAACATCAAATTTCGCTTATTTTTCCTTTTGTAATAAAAACGGTAAAAATCGATTCGAATATGATGAATAAAAAAATGAAGCATGCCCAAGATCACTCAAAATTTTACTAATGAAACCATAACCCACTAACTAAGTAAAACTGCCCAGATGTTAATTTTGGTGTAATATAGTTAGTTGTTGTTATTTCTTAATGCCGGCCTAAATCCGATCCATAATTCGGGTCGATCTGGTAAATTTTTGTTTCTCCGCAAATCTTTCCAATTATAACAACATTCATGTTAAAATTACTATATGCGGAAGGTCATTTAGAATCATACTCCTCCTGTAATCTTGATTATACGGGATTGGTCCTGTTCCTGTTGCTATTTTCATGGAGCACATTACCCTGTTTAGCACCTTTTTTGATCTGTTGACTTCTGTCAAACTCGAATGAAATTGCACAGATTGGCATTGTATAGATGAAAGACCTATACCGATATTGATCAGCTATAATTTCTAACCCAAAAAAGTATAGTACAGTTTATAAATCAGCCTGTCTGTTTACATATCTGTTATGATTTATTAACTTAGCCTCGATATACATAATGATTTAATGCATGAGTATAAAAATCAATTTATTAAGCTAAATTTTCAAAAAAGCTACGTATTTCAGTTTTGTTTACTATTCATACGTAATTTGTTTTTAGATTGTAAATATAATGAGAATTTAGTTATTATATTTACTATTTATACGCATGAATAGTGCATGAGTATAATAATTTGAGCATTTAAATCAGATATCCAAGTTTATAAATAGTTACTACTTAAGTTCATTTTATTCGCATTAATTTAGTGCATGAGAATACTGTAATAAAGCTCATTTACATTAAAAGTTCATATACAAGATCTTCAAAAATAGTAAACCACCATGAATTAACCCGGGCGTGAACCAAAGAATTTTTATTAATTAAATGCGGGTTTTTTTTCAAATAGCTAGAATGTCTATTATAATATAAGGTGTAAATTTTTTTTCGCGTCATAAGCTCTGGGCAATGTTACGACCAGGGGAGTGACTTTATATCCACTGAGCCAATTTAGCTTAGGGTCGTAAGCATTAAAGAAGTAAACCAAATATTTATTAACACACACAAGGCACCATAAATGTACAAATAATATAACCTACAAGTATACCCGGTATACTATGAACCCTTTCCAAAGTACTAATATCCAAATCTCTGATCCACAAACTAAAAACCAAAATACAAATCCACTAAAATCTACTAACTACCCAACGTTCTATAACCCCTATTTATACATACTATTACTACACAAATGTAATATGACAATATAAAGTCTAATTATGGTATGCTTACGACTAGGGTTGTTAATGGGTTGGGTTGGGTTGGTTTGGGTTGACCCAGTCTTCAACCCACTTCACTAAATTAGACCTGCTCCATAATACTCCGGGTTGCTCCAAATTTAAAGGCATAATTTTAAACCCACTCCAATTTGGGTTGGGTTCTACTCCAAAGTGATCCAGAGTAAGCTACTCCATTAACAACCCTACTTACGACTATGAACTTTGCATCAACTATTATATCGTTACACTGCAAAAGTGTAATTGTTACATAATTAAAGGGTAATTGTTACATAGTAAAAGTGTAATTGTTACACAACAAAGTTTATACTAGAACGCGGGTCTATTAATGGGTTTAAAAATTGGAGTAATGTACAAGACCCGGAGTATTTAGGTTCATGAATATTTATTATTTGTCACGGTTAATGCTGAATTTGGGGGACGTCTAAAGCGGAGGCAACTCATATTTAATAATTTTTTCGATTAACTTTAGGGTTAGAGTCTTCTAGAATGGGGTTAGGTTAGGTTTTTATAAGTAAAATTGCCTTCCTGACATTTTTGATTAACCTACCCAAGGTAGGTTTAGACTGCCGTTTTTTGTATTTTTCAGGCTTTTTGTTTTTTTTGCTTCGCTGGCGATCATCAAAATTCTATCATTTGATTGGCTGTTGATCACATGATGTGCCTCCGCTTTAGACGACCCCCAGAAAAGGAATGACGTCAACAAAATATTCGATTTTGAACAACTAATTAAAGTTTATCATATCAAATGACAATGCGCAGCCCTATTGACTAGGGATGTTATCCTGTTCCAATCGGTTAGTTTATGCTCGTAAAACTCGTTGAATACTGTTTCAAAGCACATACAAAAAACTGGTTTATAAACTCTTTATATAAGTGTACTAATAATTATGCTAGCAATACCTGTTATTAAACTAGATAGTTGCGCGACGCCATCGCGCAAAACCAGGAACGGAAAGCCTAAAAAAAAATAAACGGTTAATTATCAATATGACTGCTGGATAATTACTTATATCGATATCTCAAAGATTACTGTACTTTTTCGACAATCAAATCAATAAAATATGGCATTTATTTATGCTGATTTTCAGGGATGCATGTCACAATGTCCAATTGGTTTGAAATCAATTGGACATTGTGACATGCTATCCCTGCTGATTTTTATTGTCGATATACAATATATCAGCCAAGTAATTACCTAAGTGTACTGGTAATGATGAAAAATAACGATTTCGGTGTTTTTTTATTGAAATTAATGTCTTCCATGTACAGCTACGAGTGACATTAACTCTGATAAACGAAATTTTCTGTCGTATAATTGTTGTTTCCACCTCT